TCCTAAAGGATATGATATCTAAGAAAAGAAAGCTTCCAGATTGGGAAGAAGTGACATTAACTGAGGAGAGCACTGCAAGGCTGCAAAATAAATTGCCACCAAAACTTAAGGTCCTAGGGAGTTTCACTTTACCTATTTCACAAGGCAAATAATTTCATTTTAATACTTTATGTGATACTAGTGCAAGTGTAAATTTAATGTATTTATCTGCTTTTAGGAGACTAAGAGTTGAAGAAGTCCAAGAATCGAATGTAATGCTGTAACTGGCAGATAGGAGCATCAGATACCTATAGGGCAAGATTGAAGATGTGCTCATCAAGGTTGGGAAGCTGATATTCCCGACGGACTTCCTTGTTATGGACCTCGAAGACGACCAAGATATGGCAATTATCTTAGGGCGACCCTTTTTAGCTACGAGTTGAACTTTGATTGACATGAAGAAGGGTGAACAGATTGTGAGGGTTGAGGTCGTGCGTGAGATCTTTAAATTATATAATCAACCCGAACAACCGTTAGTCTTGGAGGAAGCCAAATATATTGCTGAAGAAGTTCAACAAGAGTTAAATGATACAAAACTTAAACCTCTAGAGAGCTGTGCACAAAAGGAGAACAAAATGTTCAAAATTCGGAGGGCAAAAAGAGGTTGCAAGGCTGGAAATTGTAAGGAGTGTAAGGCTGCAAGACTTCAACATGACCCACCATGATCAAACTGCCAAGTCTAGCTAAAAACTATAAATTCAGTACTTGTTGGGAGGCAACCAATTTTCTAATCCTTTTATTTATTTTTCGTATTGCATTTTACTTAGTTTTATTTTTGATTAATAGGTTGCATTAGTTATAAGCATATTTCAATTTACAGAGCATCATCATTCTATCATGTTTTCTCTTATGCCTTTGAATTTATTGTTGGTTATTTCAATTGTTTGGGCTAAGTAACACACGTTCTAGATTATTTGATATTTATTGTTTGATTTGACTGATATATGCAGGAATATGACGTTTTGAAATACTCAAACCAACATAGACCATGGGGAAAATATGATGTAGAAGATTGTCTAGCCGTCACGCATAGTGCCTCATGTCTTTAACAGAAAATTTTGGGGAGTACCTTCTTCCATTTCTTCCTCATCCCCTTATATTCTTATTTATACTTTATGACATTGAAGACAATGTCGATTTTAAGTTTGGGGGTGGGAAAAAATTTGAGTTTTTACTTTTTGTGTGTATTTTTTTTAGTGTTTGTTTTTCGTTATTATTTTAATATTCAACAAAAAATTAAAAAATTCAACAAAGAAATTATTTTCTTGTTTTAGGCTCTGTGCTTGTGTGAGTTAGACAATCTGGCCGACAATGATGAATAAAATTGAGATTTGCTGTTAATTTATGAACAGTGGATATTTTGCATACTAGACCGATTGAGATTTAACCTTGCAAAACTTGATATTATACGTGCACTAGAATTAAGTTGAACAACGTGATGCTATGAGTTGATTCATATGTTGGATATGTAGATAGATTGAATATAAATGTTTTACCCAAATCATAATAAATTATTTATCCTTGGACCCAATTTAGCACAGTTTGGAGGTGATTTTACTATTGTAGGAAGATACAGATGTGGACAAGAATTTTATGTGTGAAAACTTTTGTGTGGATTGTTTTAAATTAACGAGATAAAATTTGAC